AGAGACTACTTTGCCCCGGGGGCGCTCTTTGTGGACGCCGTCGAGACGCCCGAGCCGAGCCGGGCAACAGGTAGATGTGTGATACCCTAGGACGCCTCGGGACACACGGCGCGGCGGGCTGCTGGAGCAGGCAGCATCAGAACCCCGCAAGTCCCAGGGTCCTGCCCCATATCAGGGCTGGGGGGCGTGTGCAATGCATACCGCTCCGGAGTGACAATAGTCTGCACTGCAAATAACGGCCGCGCCAAGGTGTTTGCCCTCACTACGTGCGCACTGCGTGTGCACTGCGTGCGTTATTGGCACGCTCTCCGGACCGGTAATCACGATGATTTCGCGAGTGTCTGCTCGGAGGTAAGAGGGGGGGGGGGGCTGTACTCGAGAGACGGCTGAATCCAAGGTGGCGCCTCACCCCTCTCTCGCCTTCCCTTGGCTACGTGTGTGTATCTCGATCTTTCTTTCTGTTTTAGTAGCAGACATTACGCACTTTTTTACCGCTCCGTCCGGGCTGCCCTCTCTCAGGTGAGCAGCTCGATGAAAGTGGCTCTGCTGCTGGGATCTAACCGCTGGTCCGAGGTTCGAGTATCGGCAAGGACCAGCAGCTGTGGCAGCAGCTCACAAAGAGACAGACATACAGACAGACAGAGAGAGACAGAGAGGCAAAGACAGATCGATAGAGCTAGAGAGGTTGGCAGAGACACACTTAGTCAGAGAGACAGAGCGTGGGGGGTAGGCAGAGACACACATAGGTAGAGAGACACAGCTAGAGAGGTAGGCAGAGACACACATAGGTAGAGAGACAGAGCTAGATAGGTAAGGTAGAGACACACATAGGTAGAGAGTCAGAGCTAGAGAGGTAGGCAGAGACAGAGAGAGACGGAGGCAGAGACAGGTAGGCGGCGCCAGAGATTATACCAGGTGCAGAAGGTGCCTGGAGCCTGCGCCGCGGCGCAACGTCACCGGGCGCAGGTGTCCCTATTAGCGGCCTTGCCCAAACAAGGGTGTGTGTTCTGGGTGGCCTCCACTCCACGCCACGCCCCCTTTCTCCCGTGTCGCATCGTCGCGGTGATAATAAGGGGACCGGTCCAAGTAATCACGACTCGGTTCGAAAAAATAAATGAAACGAAAAGAAATTATTACGCGCGGTGTATCGGATGTGGCGGT